GTAACAAGTGGGTGATCGATAGAGTGTTGTAATACCACAGTTCGAATAGTCTAGCAAGTCACCATCATTTGTTTGGCTCATTTCGCTGGTTGATGCAAAGTTCAAGCAGAAAATCGTTTAGCTATTAAATCATGAAATTAGCTAAACGATTTTAAAAAATCGTTTAGCTATTTTGTTTCGAGATTCTTAGATCTTTCAGTATAACCACGTTCTTCAACCAAGAATGAAAGAAACAGTCAGAACATTTGCGATTTCATGGAGGAAATCAACTTGAAAGAAAGATCACTATGCATAGATGGCCAATTACACATCTGCTTGGATCACCATTCACCAAAACAAATTTTATGATCGCCTTTAAACGATATTGCAGAGCTAAGAAGCTGCAAAGCGCATGTGTTTCAACACTTTTCACTAACTAGCTAGCTGGCCACATTGTTTATAAAGTCCCCAGCATTTCAGCAAAAGCATCAGCATGCAGGGGCTCTGAATTCATACTGCTCAAGTAGACCGTTCCAGAAAGCCCCCACACAGCCCCCGCGTACTCAGTAAACCCCAGCTCGATCGTCCCAGCCTGACCCCGACCCGGTGAATCGACTCGGTGCGGCATTTCCGCCGCGGCTCGCGCCAATCAGTCTCCCCAGCCCAGAGCGGACCGTTCGCGTGTTCCCGGCGGCTGCATACGGGATGGGACGGCTGACCGATGTTCATGCCGGGGCCAAGGACGCGGCCCACGGCGCAACCTTTACCTGACCAGGCAACTACAAATGAATCAGTCTGAGGGTGCAGCGCTATACACGGAATGTTCAATTGCTGAATCTCATCGGATGCATTGACTGGCGGCTTCTTCGTTCATGATTGCTTTGTATATGCGAACAACACGAATAATTTATGCATCTGTTGTCGTAAGTGTTTTATCAGTTTTTTTATTTGGGAGTTTCTACTTCTTCAGTTTCTACTTCCCAATTTTGAAAAGTAACATGTTTTATTCCTTTCCAGGCCTCTCGCTGCTACTGAAGACCATATAAATATGAACACCGATTTCTCGGAAGCTGATGAAGTCTGACCACTAACAGCTGACCACTGACGTCAGATTCCGTCTGGGAGCGCGTCACCTCTCTCGTGACCACTGACGTCAGATTCCGTCTGGGAGCGCGTCACCTCTCTCGTGTTGACCTCACGGTCAGCTGATGTGTCGCCTGGTACGGGATGCTCCGTTCTGGGGCGGTCCAGTGAGTCACTGCTCCTCTGCTGCACCCACAGCTACATGGAGAATACTCCTCCCAGGAGGAGCTGAGATGGGAAGCGGACACTGTGACCCTGACACGGCCGGTATCTGAGGTCACCATTTTCAGAAAGTTTCTTGATAATTGATGGTCTTTATTACACGGCTCGCAGGCTGTATCACTATGTTACAAAATATTCCCAAATAATTATGCGGTTCGACCTCCCTTGCGTCCGAGGGTACCCAACAACTATGTAGTCTGCACTTCTGCAGCGCGGCTATGACAGACTTTTCTTATCCCAGCAACGAGAGCACTGTGGTTTCAGCCGAGTACCGCAGACGAGAAAGCTCTCTGACCGGAGACGGGTGCCGCAGCAGTCCAATCTGAGCACACAGACGCCTACGGTCGCCCACAAAACTCCGACGCTGAGAAGATGGATCACCTGCAGGTGGGAGTAGGCCGGTGGGCAGACCGGTAGGCAGACCGGTAGGCAGGTCGGTAGGCAGGCCAGATGGGTCAACACGGCGATGGGTGGGCTTGGCGACTCACAGCCTCCTTGGAAACCGGTAGGGTGGTGCAGACCAGCTGGGCTCGGCTGCTGTGTACCAATGCGTGCCACATCTATTGAGTAGCGCAAGATACGTCAGGATTTCATGGGGACGATACAGGAATGCGTCCATGATAGAAACGTCGAAGTGACAGCTTCGGCATTGAATCTTACTTTGAAGGAGCGCGTGCTTGGGTAATGCTTTTTCCGCAAAGTTGTAGACTCAACAGCGTAGCACAATGAAGCGTAATTCGAGCAGTTTCTTCGAGAGTATGACTGGTCTGGAATCAATTGACAGGAACTTGTCCGTTAAAAAGACCAGTATAATTTCGCAATAATGTCCCGTTGCATTACGCACGATCAGGAGAAAAGCGGCGCTAAGCTTGTCCAGTTGCCTTCTGAGGATTTTGACCAGCGTGGAAACAGAAAGGAAACGATTGTTACTTGTGACAGTGAAACTATTAACACAACCTAAAAATTACGTGTCTACGTTTAATTTTATCCGTCACAGCTGTCAGTTGCGCGGGTTCGACAGCCCATGACAGTTAACGCCCGAATTGGAAACCGGGGAATTTCGTCAACGGTGACTAATCGCCTAGCTAAGCGCGGTGCAAACGCCGCTATTACGTCGGCTGAGCATCACGGCGGCTGGGTTTCCGGCACTCTCGGTGATAATGCCTCACATCGCTCCGAGCTCCGGTGGCGCAGTCACGGCCCATGAGGCCGAGTGCCGATATTGTGCCGTGTAATTACCCGGTGTCGGTCAGAGTACAGACCTTGTCTCTGTACCTGATACCGTTTCACAACCCTGCCTGTGAGCGGGCCGGCAGCTCGCCTGCACACGACAATGCCGATATTGTTTGCCGAAGGTCGTTTGTATCTGGAGCAGCCGAGTGGAGAGTCGATTGGGGCGGGTTCACACCGGCGAACATGGAGTCGGTCCCGAGCGTTTCCAAACGCCGGGCTGTGCCAACGCCATCAGTGCCGGCGTGACATGTTGGCTCGCCCGCGGCGCCGCTCGGTCGTGCCACTAAGGGCGTCGGGCCCACAGCGTGCCGATCGATAATCGCCTCTAATAGCCGGCCTGTGCCGGTGTCCGCCGTTCGCAATCGCCGCCACCGCGTCACTATCGCGCGAATCAGCGGCGCCAGCACAGTTTACGCTGCAACGCTGCAATGTTGCAGCCGACTTTGGAAAGACACGACCTGGAAATGGGCGATCGCCGATCGCGCTTCAGTGTGTCACGAGTTGGACTGAACCTCGAATATCTGTGAAATGGAACGTGCAAATGGAGACTTATATATATCTGCGACAAAACTGCAATGATGTGAAGGGCAAGCCGACAATGCGTAACGATTGTGGACTCTCAGGGACACTTCCTTTGGAATGAATTATACGGACACAGTGAAAGCAATGCATAGAACATCGATTAAGGACAAGTTACGGCTACGCTTTGATTGCTTCAAGGCGGCTGATCGATAAAAAGTGGTCCGTTGCATGCGTTATGACGGCTTTGGTGTCCGTTACCTAATCTCCCGTTGAGCGGGGAGTGCCACCGCCGAATATGTGTCACGCAGTGGTCAGTCGTCCAACGATGCCATTGTTCGCAGTTACCCAACCGCCGATCAAACCCGCGAGGTAGCAGCAAGGAAACGGCAATGGTCATCTCAATCAGAAAACCTGTTCTGATCCGAGCCAAGTATCGACCATCTGATCGCGGATAAGCCACGGGTGGAAGTTATGTCTGTTTTTAATATCCGCAGCACCGGCTGTTGTCGTTAGTAGTTGGTATCAACTGTGACAATTGTCATCTTTATCACCATAAAATAGCTCTGATGCGACCAGGTGCAGGCTGGGCCCGGCAGGATTTCAACACTGCTAGAACGGCTGCGTTGCCCAATGTCTACTATTCATAGATCAACTAATAACTTTCATTTTCCTTCCTACCTTTTGATGCCTAAGGAAATCATACCAATCAAATATGTGTGTTTTTGTGAGGCATACACTTGAATGAATTTGGAAAAACGCTATTACTATACATATTGTAAGTTACAGACGAAGATCCTAAGCAGCAACACCATACTAGTTAGAACCTAAGTTCAATGACATGTGAGTTGAAGGATCATATGCCCAACATCAGTGGATACGTCCGGTGCAAACCATCACCGGTATCAGTGCAGGGCAAGCACCAGCAGAGTCCGAGTTTGTTTCACCTTCAGAGATAATTGAATCGCCGCTCGGTCCACAGACTACCCACTTCCGGCTATGTTCGTCTGCACTATCCATTACCACGATAGGCTAACGGTATTCTTCTCCCACGTCCCGCGTTTTGCGCACGCAACCCTTCCCCTCTTCCCCGCTCCTCCTCCCCGCGCGGCCGGCGGAGACTGCAGCGCCTGGCGTAACGCTAGCACCAGAGACTGCAGCGCCTGGCGTAACGCTAGCACCGGAGACTGCAGCGCCTGGCGTAACGCTAGCACCGGAGACTGCAGTGGCGGCTGGGGCGCTAGCACCAGCGCGCCGCCGCAGGGATGGTCACCGCGCCTCGGCCGTGTCGGGCGCGTCACGCGTGCTTATGCAACCGTCACCGCCGCCACCGCCGCCGCCGCCGCGGGCGGATACAGCGACGCCGGCTGTCGATCACCAATGGCATCGCCCCGGGCGGCGGCGGCGGCGGCGGCGGAGCCTCGGAACTGGCGGCGCGCGCGTGAGCAGGCCGTGCGACGTTATGTGGCGCAACGGGCACGATCGGTAGCGCGCTGCAACGGGAGCAGGCGGCGCGGCGTTTGTCTATCGCCGACTGGTGTGGTTTATTGTCGATGGAGGAGCGCCCCGGGCTGCCGGCCGGCCGGTGGGGTTCCGGCGGGTTACTACACCGGCGGCAGCCCCCCGCTGAGATGTGTGGGACGCCGCCGCCGCGGTTGGGCACGAGCGGCCAGTCGGGGTGCCTGATTGAAACGCGAGTGACCGGCGCCGCGGCTAGGAGAGAGGGTGACCGGAAAACGGGCCGCTCATTGGAAACGGGCCACGTCGGCGTGAGGCCCGCGGTGTTTTTGTACAGGCCAGTGCGTTACAACACCACTGTTAGTCTAATTTATAGCTTTGGATTGTGTTCTTATCATGGCAATTTGTTGTTGGTATTTAAAAACTCAAACCCGCAGTCCATTTAGTATTTTCAGTGGCATTCAAGAGTGCAGAGAATTAATCACAGTTGGGATAGCGGTACTCACCAAAGATGGCCAGCAGAAGAGCAAATTTAGCCAACTCCATGGTCGTTCACAAATCCGAGTTCCTTTCGGAACTCAGCACCGCGGCACTGTCGTAAAAGTCACTCCAGCTTGTTACTTTGGTGAATTGGTATTCAGTCGAGTCGTTCTGAAAAAGCAGACACAGTTTCATTCAATACGTCACGCAGCGTAGCAGCAGAATGGCTTAGTGTAGTCGTAATGGTACTGGTGATAAAGTACCCAAATAAAGCGAAACTGGTTATTCCGTCTAGTTTTTCACCGCATTGCAAACCTCACACTCGGATAGAATAAAATGATGCCTCATCTACGAAATCACTAGCTATGCTTGCACCACACGTATCATGCAGCGATTTTTACTAACACTAATTCTCAAACAGAGCCCTTTCACAGGTGTCACAGGTGCAGCCTCGCGGCATCAGACGTCAGTCGGACGGTCTCGTTACGTGTTCTCGTTCACGCTAGCAAGCACGGTAATAGCTTCCTGCAGTAATAAACGTAATTCTCACTTCAGCACTGCACTCATTGGTAACGTGTCACGGGCAGCGGCGCGCAGGCTGCGGCGCGCTGCCAGTCTGCTGTATCCATATGACCCCCGCGCCCCGCCCTGACACCTCCCCGTTGAACTGAGGCACTGTCGGTTACATGTTGTAGTCAGGAGCTGGTGCGGTGCTTCAGCAGTAACGCGCAGTCGGCCGGAGCCGCGTGGAAAGTGCTGTCGACACGGAACAGCGATACAATGCCGCCGGAGGCCGGTTGCGCTCGGACTCATCAGCCGTAAAAACAATCTGATGACGCCTGGTTAACAAGGCCCCGTGGTGTCAGCCGGCGCGTGCCACGGCCGCCGGCGGGCCTGACTGCCCGCAGGCGGAAGGGACTTATTGGAGCAGCTAACTCTTGGCCAGAGAGGGATATTATACCGCCTCGATTGGTTTCCGGTGACTGACCGGATGAGTACTAAGAGCAAACTGGAGTTGGAGATATGAAATGCTATACGTGATTAGATGCTAGCGTAACAAGTGCAGAAACTTTTAAGCTCTCTCGATCTTCATGTTCCAATACAATAGACATTCAAAATCGCGCCACATCGGGACTCTGCCGTAAACATTTAACATTGGTATTCAGTTCGTCATGAGTTAACAGTGTTGAAACTTGAAGTGTCTATTTAGTTCAACGTTTCAGCAAAGCTAAAATATGTGTCGTCATCAAGTGACAGGACTTTATTGAAAAACAAAATAATGATCAATCCAAAGAATTATTGTCGAAAGCATACACCTTGTTTGCTTAGATCAGATTACTTGCTTCGAAGTAAATTTCACTAGTGAGAGCCCTGTTCGAGCCTCTTCTGCGCTCGCTATTTGCCGCACTCATATCTACCTCTCATTTGTTTTTTATACTAATCAGAATCGACCCGGGTCACTGGCTGTAGTCGCGTTACGGATCATATGGAAGCGTGGCAAATCTTGATATGCTTATAAGAAAACTAGCTGCTTTGAGTCTCCCATCTTCTAAAGCTATATTCAGTTTGCTGTTACAAATAAAAAACATTCAAGTAGTTATTATGTAGTATTTTTAGGTGTTATTAAATAAAAAAAACCTACTGAAAACGATTTAATTCCATTGATACGCCACATCAAATAGCACTTATACAACTTCGCTAGATCAATGCGCCATAATATTCAAAGTCTTGTAGTCAGTCAGTGTAGTCAGAATACTGCAATAACATTGCATATTGATATGTGCTAGCAGTAGCAGTACCTAACCGTCTTGACCATTGTTTTTACAAATGGTAAAAAAAGTTGTCAGTGTGCAACGTGCATATAGCTTGGATAATTATAGTGCAATTGATGCTAAGTAAAACAACGCCTAAAAACACGCCGAAAAATGACGCGGGCTCCGAGCTTCATCGTATGACTCACACCATATCCAGCGCATTAGCATGCCAGCTAATTTGCAAAATAATGTAAGCAACATTTAATATAGTTGCACCACAGACACGAGAACCGCGAACAATTATAATACTTTACTACATCTCCTACTGGCAATAACAAACTTCACTGCTCACTCGTTTCACTCAACACCTATCCGTGCTTCTATCCTCAGGATACTGAAATCCTTCTCCTCAACGCCACAACCCCCCTCCGGGCTGGACAGGCAACTTTATCTCATGCGGGCTGCTCCCTTGGAGCGGCACCGCTGCTCCCGAGGGAGCGCACCCCGTAGCCGGGTGCAGTGAGTGCCTTGGGGCTGGGTGGCCTGTCCTCTGGACGGGCTCAGCCCCGGCGACTCACTAGGGTGCCTGCCCAGACCAATGTCTCCTCCTAAATCCTATCATCCTTCCGGCTCTGCAATGGTCTTGTCGACCGAAAGTGCCTAACCCAACAAGACAGTTTCACTCAATCCATCGTACCGCCGTCGCTGCGGCCACACTCCTCTCCCTCCCCTCCGCCCATCCCTCCCGGGCCCCACACCAGCGCTGCGCTGCGGCGCGGCTGTCGCGGCGGCGCGAGCTGTTTCCTCACCTTGCCTGGCTCCTGGCGCGCGGGCGGGGCGCCCTCTCCAGCCTCCTGTCACAGTGGCAGCCAGCGCTCGACTGGCGGCGCCGCGCGCGGAGAAAGGCCGCCTCGGCTCCACCTCAGCCTCGACCTTGGTCCGCCGCGCTGCCAAGGTCAGAAACCGAGGCAAGGTCAGCCCCGGGCGCCCCCGAGGCGGTGTGCCCGCTGACCGCCCCCAGGGAACTGAGGGCGGACCGCTGGGACGGCTAGTGTGCTGGTCTAGTGTGTTGAATTTCGGAGCGGTTGATCGGTCAGCTGTGTGCTAGGAGTGATTTGGAAGTCTAATCAAATGTCTGGGGCAGCCCAGCAATGGTTTATTACCGGACCGTGAGGTGAGGACGTGCCTGGCAGGGCCAGTGATTGGCCATTGCTTTATTAATGAAGTCAGTGGGTATGTTGGTTCCAGGTGGCTCTATGTGCTTTTATTTATAACGCCCACGAGAAGAAAAAATTGTGATGACCGTTCACATCCAAAAGGATGGATGAATGAGACAAAATTGGACGGGACATTTTATGTTAAACGTTTCGTGTTTGAATTGATTCGTTTAGTCTTCACACACGTTAAGATGTTTTAGGCTGTTGCATTTGCTGCCTGAAATAGATACCATAACAGATTTGAAACATTTCATAAGATAGTAATCATAATAACACAAAAATGCAAACCACTGGGCAATTGGAGTTTGACGAAAGCAAGGGAACTTCCATCGAATATTGTTAAATCTTACGTGAATTTCTCTCGGATTCCACAAAAATGTAATGTCCAGTAAGAAGAGAGCAACGACATACATAGGCATTCACTTTCGTTTATTGTGGCGATTTCTGTTCCAGATTACATACATTGATTGTGCCATTCCTTGGTGTGCCAACTTGCGACTGGTCTCTGTTGATAGGAGCTAAATCACATCCCTGGTAGACACACAAAAAGTGAAGCAAATTGAGTAAAGTAATAATAAAGCAAAATCATTCAATCGGTATGCATCCAGAACGACGACGACGAGTTACTTTTATGATTTTATGATACAATCCTAACTAGTGGCAGTTTCGTCGAATCATGAAGTGTGGTAATCATCCCTAAAGCCCTGCCCGTTCAATAAATAGGGTGTTTACCATCTGAGCACAGAGCAGGAGGGGACGACTGGCTGTAAACTGCCGGGGTCCGGTCTGTCGAGCTGCTGAGGAAATACTCCCTGCTGCGTCGCCGACAGAAAACAGTGGTAACACGCTCCTTCACCTAGTCTGTCACCGGTGCACCACATTGAGCAACGAGTGCGCCGCGCCGCGCCGCGTCTGTCGCCCCGCGCCACTGTTTGTCACAGGACGGCAGTGACGGAGCTGGGTGGGGCGAGACCAGGTCACCGGGACCCGTCATAGTGACCTGAAGGCAGGAGACAAACAACATCCACCCGCCCCGGGTATGAAGCAAACAACGCTCACCGCTACTGCCTGGTATGGGCGCCACTCGGAGGGAGGTAAACAGTTCGCCACCTGCCGACCCTGCCACTATGTATACACTGAAAACAAATTGACACAAAAAACGACTAAAAACGCACAGGCAGAGCGTGTTAACTAGGCTTTCTTGTGTACCCTGCATCATGCATTTTTTGACCCGTCGCAGACGTGTCAATTTACAAATGTGTTAACCCAGTCGTGTTGTGTCCTAAAACACAATATCATTGTGTCTTCAACACATAAGGCTTGTGTGAATACATTTGCAGAATACAAGGTAAATATGTTACTAAATTTAACCCAAATCGCAAGTGAAAGAAGGAAACACGTGATGATTATGTAGTTTGTTGCCGGGGCGCATTTGAAGGGACTATGGCTTTGGCTGGACAGGCTGACTGCCAAAGCCGGGTCCCGAGTGGAATCGGGCGCTCGGGTGCGGTCAGGGCTGAGTACCCGGCCGGCCGACCCATACGGTCAGGGCGCGGGGCGCGGTCAGGGCTGAGCACGCGGGCGGCCGACCCATACGAGGCCGCCGACCCATACGCGAGCTGGAGTTGCGCCCGGTCGGCCACTTCAGAGCCGAAGGGGGAACGCGTCACGTGGACGGCTCAATCAGAGCACCAAGTGACGAAGCCCAAAACTGGAGGACTGCTGTTCAATACAGTTGTCCAGATAGCCGGGATAAACTTACAGCCTTTATTTATTTGTGTTTGGGGCATTTCGGTCAAAATGACCATTGCATGCCCATGTGTGAACATCAATGTATTCTAATATCGATGAGTATATTTACATATTGTCTAAGTTAGAGTTTGTCGAATAATCTAATTTCACGAAGGTATGCGAAGAGGAGATCAATCAAGGGTTCTTCAGAATCGCCGAGAACAGAAGCCAATGTGAATTGTATGTTCCTTCGATTGCAATAATCGAGCATCCGTTGTCTTGTATTGTCGAATTTTCTGCAGTCAATAATTATATGTTGAACTGATTGTACGCAGTTACATAGTGAGCACCTTGGGCGGGCGTCTCGAGTATATATATGGTTATGTGTATATTTTGTATGGCCCAATCGCATCCTTGCTAATATCCTTTCTTCATGTCTATTATTCCTTTTTGCGGTATGCCATACTTCAATCTTTTCTTTTATCTGTCTGAGTTGTGTATGCTGTGTTACTTGTGCCCATTGTTCCTGCCATTTTCTAAAAATAGCCTGTCTTATGTTTGCTCTGATAGAGTTGTATTCTATAGGAATGTTTGTGATGCTTGTAAGATGTAGGGCATTTTTGGCGTGTTCGTCTGCTTTTGTATTTCCGTGTATACCACTATGGCCTGGTATCCAGAGAAAGTGGACCTTTTTTCTGTTGTTCGACAATACATGTAATTTGTTAAAGATGTGAATGAGAAGAGGTGATGCTGGATATGTAGCTTCTAGCGATTGAGCAACAGATCGTGAATCCGTGCAGATCATAGTTTGTGCCCAAGACTTTTCATTAACCAAATCAATTGCTTTTACTATGGCATGAAGTTCGGCTATGAATATCCCAGTTCCATTTTGTAAGCGATTAGATATTGAATGATTTCCTACGGGATCAAAGACGGCGTTTGCGACGCAGTCACCCGACTTGGACCCGTCCGTGAAAATAAAATGATGTGTAGGAAATTCTTGTTGTGTCTGAAGGAACTTGTGTTGTATTTCTGTGTCTGTCACTTGTGTTTTCGGGCAATCAATAAGAAATGAAACTTTCCAAGACCTGACTACCCATGGAGGGGTGTTCAGTATTGGAAGTGGAAGAATGTTTGGTTGAATGAAGTTAATTTCGTTACAAAATTTCCTTATTCTAGAGGCAATGGTGAGTCCCGATCGTTTCTCTGCGGGACCTAAGCGATTGTGGTGAATTGATGGAAGAATGGTAAGTGTTTTGAATGCGCTGTGGTCTGGGTGAAATCTGACTTTACTACTGAATCGTAAAGTCTGTTCGATGCGTCTAAGGTGTAACGGTGGTATTGTTGCCTCAACTTGAAGGGATGGAATTGGTGAAGTTTTCATCGCGCCAGTTGCAATCCTAATAAATGAATTTTGGATGGTGTCAAGTTTCTTTAAAGTGTTGTCGCTTCCTCCGGAATAAACTACAGAGCCATATTCAATTACTGGTAAGATGAGCGACTTATATAATTGGAGAAGTGTTTGCCGGTCAGCCCCAAAATCTGTGCCAGCAACACAGCGGAATAAGTTAAGTCTCCTTGTACATTTTGTTTTAACATATTGGACGTGTTTACTCATGGACAATCTATTATCTAATACAACGCCAAGGAACTTGAATGAATTGACACGAGGGATAATGTGTCCGGATAAACGTAAGTGTGAAGGCTCCAGCATTCTAGTATTCTTTGTAAAAACCATGACAGCAGACTTCGTTGGAGAAAATATGCAACCATTCTGCCGGGACCATTCATCGAGATTGTTGAGTATATTTTGAAGACGGGGAACAGAATATTGCGAATCGTCATCTGTGCACCAAATGGCGCAATCATCCGCAAATAATGAGTATTGAATATCTTGAGGAACAGAGTTAAATATATCATTTATCATTATATTGAAGAGCATAGGTGACAAGCAGCTTCCCTGCGGTAGACCGTTTTCGAAAGAGAAAGTATCTGAGAAGATGGAGCGAAAACGCAGCTGAAAACTACGAGCACCTGTTAGGAAGCCAACTAAATACCAAGCGAGATGTCCGCGTAAACCGAGATTGTGAAGTTTGCGTAGAAGTGTTGGCCGATGTACTGTGTCGTAAGCACGGGTGATATCTAAAAAGACAGCAGTGGTGTGTTTTTTAAACTTAAAACCCTTGCGGATGTCTGTTTCAAGGCGGATTATGTGATCTAATGTACTATGATTTTTCCTGAAGCCACTTTGATATTTTGATAACAATGTATTTTTCTCCAGAAACCATTCTAAACGTTTCCCAACCATTCGTTCGAATATCTTTCCAAAACAACTAGTCAAAGAAATTGGACGGTAGTTGTTTGGATCTTTACGGCTTTTTCCTGGTTTAAGAAGTGCAATAACAACTGCTTCCTTCCATGCTTCTGGAAATGCCTGTTTTGTCCACAAATCATTAAATGTTTGCAAAATAAAGTGTAGGGTAGAATCCGGAAGGTGGCGAAAGAACTGATAATGTAGCTGGTCTGGGCCGACAGAGGTGTTCCCAGTGGACTGTATGGCGTTTCGAAGTTCCGATAAGGAAAATATATCATTGTATTGCTCTATATTATCGGATACAAATGCATGTGGTGGAAGGCGAGACTGTCTTTGAACATAATCGATGAATCCTGGCCTGTAGTGACGTGATGCACTATGATGGGCTATGGTTTGTGCGATTGTGTTAACAATGTCCTTTGGTTCTGTAATATTTGTGTTATTGACGTGTAAAATTGGAAGAGACGTGAAACTTCTCTTGCCCGACAGAGAGCGTACCAAGTTCCATATTTTACTCAGAGGGGTACGATAGTTGAGTTGCGAAAGGAAAGACTTCCAGGAGGCTCGTTTTGCCTCTCTGATAGTTCTCTTGCACCGTGCTCGTTCTTGGTTTCTTAGAAGAAGTGTTGTATTATTTCTATGGCGTAAGTATAGGCGGAAAGCTCGCTTACGCTTTGCTATGGCGTGAGCTACATTATCAGACCACCATGGGACTCGCTTACATTTTGAAGAAGTAGATGTTTTCGGAATGGATACTTCCGCTGCTGTTAAAATAGTTTCTGTGAGGAATTTAATGCCATGTTCTGGAGACTGAAATTGCTCATGATCTACCTTACAAAAGGTTCGGAATTTCTCCCAGTCGGCCTTTTTGAAATTCCAACGTGGAACCGAACCCTGGACAACATCAGCATCTGAAGAGAATGTTGTTCGTATCTGGATGGGATAGTGA